GGGCTAGGGGCCCACTGTGCCTCTCCCCATTCCAGATCTTCTGCTGCTCTGATCTGGGCTGACCCTTCAGATTCACTGGCCTCGCAGGCTGGTCTCTCCAGTCTGAGCGCTACTCTATACCTGCTTTCCCTGTGCCTGAGCCCCCAAGCACCTTCCAGGCACCAAGCCAGGATGTGGCTTCCTTACTTCCACACACTTTTGTTCCCTAGGCCAGAGAGCTGGGAGGGGTGGGGTCAGTCAGCTCTGATGCCTCATCTCCCCTATGTTAAGAGTCTAACCCTTGTCTATACCACCTCCCCGCTAGACACCTTTCAGGATCATCCTCTCCTGTCCTCAAGATACCTCTCTTCCATCCCTGAACATCTCTTCCTTAACTCAGGCTGCCCTCACCTCCCAGCCTCCTGAGCCACCATGTTGTTGCATCCACATTCCTGCCAGAGTGGCCTTCCTGGTGGTATCACCAGCACAGAAATCCAATCCTGCTGAACACTCCTAATCAGCAAAAACAAAGACACCTCTGTCACGGAAAACCCTGAGCAGGTAGCTTGACTCCCCAACGCCTCATCACAAGCCCCTGGCCCAGCACTCTTATGGACAGTGCCCTTCCCCCACTCCCACCCCCACTCCCAGGTCCCTCTGGCCTCGCACATGCTGTTCTCTTGACCTTGAAGGCCTGTTCCTACAGCCTTGGCCTCTTGATCCTTCAGGCCCCAGATAAATGAGGCCTTGTTTCCTGGGCTTAGGTATTTCATCTGGCTCCCTCCTAGCCCGAAGTCTCCATGCAAATGAGGACTGCAGTCTCCCCTGTTCAGAGCTGCACCCCACACCCACCCAAGACCAGACATAAAAGTAGATACTTGATAACTATTTGTGGAACAAATGAGTCTTTCATCCTCCTGGTCCTCCTCAGAACCCCTCTTCTAGGCTTGCTTTCATCTCTGGCCTATTCCATGAGCTGCTTCCTCTGCCTGGAAGGTTCTTTCCTTTCCCTCCCACCTGGGCTCATCCACACAGTATTTCAGCTCTCCGGAATCTGAACTTGGTCTCCTTTATTTGAATTAGGGGGTTTCCCTCAGGGCCTCCCTAATAATGCCTTACCTCTAGTTCTCCATCTGAACACTTTAAACATGCCGGCTAAACATGAAAGATTGCTGACAATAATGCTCCACTCTACCTCTCTGCAGACCACTCCACTCCAGCTTGCTCAAGGGCATTCCTTCTCTGCCTTCCATACCGTTCCCATCAGAAGCCCCATCTCCCATGCCTTTGCTGAGCCCCTGACCGGGTGCCCAATGTGTTGTTTACATTCCAGCTGCACGGGGGAGGCCGGAGGAGGAAGTGTGAGCCTTCCAGCCGGGATTGTGTCCGTAGCGACACAGAAGCAGGCGACCGTGGTAGAAGTGCTAAGCAAACACTCAGCCAGCCCTGGTCTAGGATGCACACAGGTGGGTGGGTGCAGAAGTAGCCAGGGGTTTCAGGGTGGGAATGAATGCATTCCGTACCACCCTGCTTATACTAAAGTGTGCAGATTGTGGTGGGGAGGGGCTTGGGATTGCAGGGAGGTGACCCTGAGGGGCAGACACACCTCGGACTGAATCCTGACTCTCCTGCGCCCAGGTCTTTTGAGGTGAGGTTTGCATCCTCTCCCTTTGCGTGAGAGTTTGGTTTTATAACATGCATAGTGCCCACTCCCCCCACTCCAGAAACACACAACCTGCAAGCCATTTGGCTAGAGATCAGTGCCTCCTGCTCACCTTGCTCCTGTTCGTGTTAGGAGCCTCTAGGGGTTCTTTACACACGCCTTCAATATCAGATTGTTCAGGGATCCTCCCTCCGTACCTGCTGCTCCTCTGGGACCCTCCATGCCCCAGATTTTCTCCTGCCCTGGAGAGGTCAACAGCCCCCTAGACTTGACGCCAGCCCACACTGATCCCATCACCCTTCTCTTCCACCCCCTCCACGGTGCCTCCTCACCAATCACCCACCCTGTTGTCCTAGCCAGGAAACTGGGTAACACCTTGCCTCTCTTCCTGCAGTACTTCATCTCAGCAGCAACTAAATTTCATTTTACTGCCAAGAGATGTCTCTAGTTTCCCCCAGACCACTGTGTGTCTCCTAATTGGTTCTCTCCTCTTCCCTCTCTCTCTCTCTCTAGGAGTTCTTCTTTCTAATGAATTCTCCAAAAGCACTCAAAAATGCAAATCTGACTATAATACCAGCCCTCTTACAAAAGCCCTCTCAAACGGCACAGGTGGTTTATGCCTATAATCCTAGCAGCTTGGGAGGCTGAGATCTGAGGATCACAGTTTGAAGCCAACCTGGGCAGGAAAGTCTATGAGACTCTGATCTCCAGTGAACCACCAATGAAAGAAATTTTTAAAAAGGCAAAGTAGAGTTGTGGCTCAAGTGTCAGTCTCAAGTGTCAGTCTTGAGTGAAAAAGCTAAGCCACAGCACTCGGACCTTGAGTTCAAGCCCCAGTACTGGCCCATAAAAATGAAAAACCCTCTCTAGCTGGGTACAGGTGGCTTACACTTGTAATACTAGCTATTACAGGAGACTGAGACCTGAGGATCATGGCTGGAAGCCAGCCTTGGCAGGAAAGTCTGTGAGATTCTTACCTCCAATTATGTGCCAAAAAAAAAAAAAAAGCAGGAAATGGAACTGGGCTCAAGTGGTAGAGCAATAACCTTGAGTAAAAGAAGTTTGAGGACAGCATTCCAGGCCTTGAGTTCAAGCTTCAGGATTGGCACACATGCGCATGCACACACACACACACAAGTCCCATAAGCAAGGGTCCGAACCCTTGATCTGACACACAGAACCCTCCCTCAGCAGGTCCCTGATTACCCCCACCTCCAACCCAAGGTGGGGCATTCTAGAGAAACGGCAATCTTCTTCCAGTTCTAGCCTGCAGATCTTTGATCATCCTGCACCCTCCGCCAGGCTCTGCTCCTCACCTTCCCCAGAAAGCTGGCCCTGACCTTCCTGCCTGGCCTCCCTTCCTCAGCATCTCAGATGATCTGTTCCTCCACTCACCAGTGAGTTATAACTATCGATTTTCATGTCTCTGCTCCACACCAGCCGATCCGATCCTTGAGGGCAGGGATGGTGTTCCATTCATCTCTATCCCAGACTCTGGCATTGAGGACAGGCTAGACCAGTGGTTGATGGATGTATTTGGAGCAGAAACTTGAAGAAAGTGAGAGCCAGGAGTAACCAAGAGGGGAGTGAGGGCAAACCTGGGAAGAGGAGCAGCCAGAGCTAACGTGTGGGAAGTGGAGCGTCCAGAGAGCTGAGAACTTCCATTTATTGCACTCCTACGACTGACTGCCCGCCAGCCACTGCGCCCGCACTTGTTTGCACATCGTGTCTCATTCCCCTCTTGCTGCAACAGATCAAGAAATGGACATCAGAGAAGTAACCAAAGTAACCTGCCCAAGGTCACACAGCAGGTCTAGGTCTAGCGTGGATGGAGGAGTGTCTGGCTCCTTCCCCTCCTCCCTGGACTACATTGCTCTCTGCTGACAGGATCTTCTGGAATGGACAAGCAGTGGGCCCAGCTCCGCCTCTGCCTAGCTGATTGTCGGAACTAGCTGCCCACGCTCAGGCCCACAGCTTCTTCTTCCCAGCCTGACCAGAGGCTCAGAGGCCAGACACAGGATCTACCTGTTCCTTGCTCTGCTCCTCTGGCTGTGGGGGAGGGGGCATTGACTAGACCCGCCTGACCCCTCACCAGCACTACCAGGGAAGACTTGCTGCATGCTGGAGGGTCCAGGGGGCCCAGAATGCAGGGGACTCGGAGGTGCCGTGTTGGCTCTGCAGTCTGTTTCCCTCTTTGCACTTGGCCCAGGCTGATATTAAGATTCATCTGCATTCTCTGTGCACTGCCTGGCAGATGGTGGGGGAGGAGGCTGGATGTACACTGGGGGCTGCAACCAGGGACCAGGCTGGACCTCAGAGGTTCATAGGGCAGATTGTATACCAAGCCCAGGCGGGGAGGGGGGCACTTCAATTCTTGGGGTATCTTCTCCCCCTTACAGCTTCTAAGGAGTGCTAGGACTTGACCTTTTGTATTTCTAGAAGATTGAAAAGGCCTGGAAGGCCTGGAAGGAGAGGTGAAGATGAGACAGGGGTAGCTTCTCACCCTGAGGGTTTGCAGAGACCAGAGATGGTCCGGGACATATATCCAGGGGGTAGTGGGGGGGGCCCTTCCAGCCTGGGAGCCCCTGCAAGTGAAGAGAGCTGGAGGGGCAGGCTGGAGGGAAGCCTTCTTTGCCTTCTCAAGAGGCTCACCCCAACCCTAACCCAGAATCCAGCCTGGTGCCTAGTGGCGTTTTCAGCCCAGGGCCCTGGCCAAACGCTCCATAGGGACTGGGTTAAGATCTGAGGATTATTCCCGCGGAGGAGGAAGGAGACAGAGGTGGTCACAAAAGTAGTGCAGGCCAGACACTTAGAAGAACTTCCTTTAGCCCAGAAGCAAGTGTTCCAGAGTGGCGTTGTGGTCGGCTCCAGCAAATTAAGTGTCTCTCTGTTCTCAGAATGGGCTGGGGGCGGGGGGATCTTTCCAAGATGCTTAGGGTTGGAGGTCGGGAAACAGATTGCTAATGCCCACTAACGGAAAAATCCCGCGCCCGGCCGGAGGGATGGAAAAGGCGGGGCCCCAACCCCTGGCTCCCACCGCTCCTCTTCTCTGGAGAGCCAGTGTCCTGGTGCCCGGGCTGTGGGCCGGCAGGGGAGGAGTTAACTCCGGAGGTACCGGCTGGGCTCACGGTACCTGCCGCCGCCGCCGCCGCCGCCGCCGCCGCCGCCAGTGGGAGGGACGAGGAAGCGGGAGCCGCCAGGGCGCCGGGAGCGCTCCAGTCTGGCGGGGCGCAGCGCGGGGAGCGGGCGTCCGCAGCTCGGCGCGGCCCGGGGCGTCCGCCAGGGGGCGCGCCGCGACGGGGCGGGAGGGGCCGTCTGGTCTGGGGAATTAGCACCGGGGACGGGCGGGCGCGCGCGCAGGTCCCCGGCACATCTGGGCGAGAGCCGAGCCGCGGGCACCGCGAGGGGCGCCGAGCGCCTGTCTGGAAGCGGCCGAGCGAGCGCGCCACGGGGGCCCCGCGAGGCGCTCGGGGCGCACCTCCGGGACCGCCCGCCGGGGCCGAGCGGCGGCGCAGCTGGATTCGGGGAAGGGGGCGGCGGCTGCACAGCTGGACCGAAGGGGGCGGGGTCGGTCCTGGACGTCGGGCTGAAGGGAGGGCCGCGAGCCGCCGGGGACCGGAGCATGGGACCGCGCGCCTGAAGGCACCCTAGAAGGAAGGGGCCTGGGACCCCGAAAGGAACAGAGAGGAGGGGGGCAGCGCCGAGGAGGAGGATGCAACTGACCCGCTGCTGCTTCGTGTTCCTAGTGCAGGGCAGCCTGTATCTGGTGAGTGGCCCGCGGGGAACGGCGGAGGGGCGGGGGCCCCGGGGATGGGGGAGAGCGCGGGAAGCAGCGGAGCCCTGAAACTTTCTCCCTCCCCCCTCACCCCACCCCCCGGCAGCCCGGGGGTGCAGGCGAAGACCGGAGGCTGGGGGAGAGGGCGGGTCCGAGGCCGGAGACTGGACAAAAAGGGTTAATAGGGGCGGGGAGAGGATGCTTGGCTGACCCACCCACTCCGCCGCCGCTGGTGGCCAGAGGTGCCACCAGCACCGGGGACAAGAATCGGAGCGAGGGAGCCCAGTGACCTGACCCCGGCACGGCAACCCGGGACGCGCGGAGCGGGGATGGGTAAGGCTGGGGGGGGGGGTGGAGCAGATGACCGGCCAGGTCAGGGGACCTAGGCTTCACCCCCTGACCCCTGGGACCCAGGAACCCCAGGCTGCGGGTGCCCCAGCGCGCGGAGCTGGTCCAGCGCAGGGCGGCCCCTGCGTCCCAGCCTCCCGCCTTCCCTCCCGCTCCCGCCCTCCTCGCCTGTTGTTTTCCTCGCCTCTCCCGGCTGCGCGCAGCCCGGGCCCCACAGGACCTGGGCAGGCGGCTCCCGCCCCGGGGCGCTCACGGCAGCTCAGCTGAGCGCCCTGATCCTGCTCCCCACGGTGCTGGGTGGAGGCTTTCTAGCGGCCCAAGACCATGGGGAACCCCACCACAGACCCCTGCGACCTAGCGTCTGCCCAGCTCCACGGCCCCGCTCTTGGGGCCCCAATCTTGTCCTGGAGATGCCTCTGGTCCACACCTGGATCTACCTTTTCGCTCAAAACAAGAATCATCTTTCCGGCACCCCCATTCCACTATTGGAACAGCCCTTCCCTGCTCGGCCCCTACCTGTGGCCCTGTCCTTCTCTCTCAGATTTCAACGATGACCCTCCGGGCTTAAGTACACACAAGCTGGCAGTCTTGAGTCCAGCTCCAAAAGGCTTACTTTTTGGGTGTTTTAGGACCCTCTCCTCCCCCCCACCCTCCCAGACCTGGCAGGCAGGGTCCACCTTAACCACGGGGGGACCAAGATGGCCTTGGCCAGAGCACACAGCCACAGGCGTGGTTACAGGCCAGAAAGAGGGGCTAGAAGCCCCCAAGCCCTTTTAGGCTCCTCAGGCTTGCCCCCAGCCCCACCCCAGCAGCACTACCAGGAGCAGTTGCTGCCCATGGAGTTGGTGATCATAGACATACAGGCGGCAGAGACACAGGACTTGAGAACTCTCTGTCTAAAGCTGAGCAAACACCCAATCTTCCTGAGGGCCACTGCCCCCCTCACCCTCCCCCCAGACCTCAGTCAGCCCTGGAACTTGTCCCCACCCTCCTCCAGGAAGCCTCCTCAAGGTGTGGCCTGTCACCTCAGCCGAACCCATATACAAGCAGAGCCAGCCCTGGCAGAGTGTTCTCGGACATTCTGGGTGGGGCCAGGGCTTGGATAAAAGTCTTTTAAAAAGATGTATCTGGTCGGAGACTGGGAGCGTCGGTAAAGTGGCAACGCTGACGTTAAGGGACCGCAGGCTTGTAGTGATGTAACATCTCGGACCCGGTGTCCTCATCTGTGAAAGGGGAATCTTCACAACTTTCATTTCATAGAGCAACTAACGCCTTGACATGACATCATTACTGTCCCCTGGAGACAGTGGTGGCTTTCCACACTCTTGGCCATCTTGGGCATAATTCATGCCTCGTTTTCCCCCCTCATCCTGGCAAAACCTCACCTGCATTTATAGTTGACAGAGTTTCACTGGGATCTGCGTTGCTTTACAGTTTGCAGGTTCTGCGTGCATCTAAGAGTAACCGTTATCTTAGGGTAGGGATAGTGTCTCACCCATGCTCCTGGAAGTCCCAAGAGGCAACAGCTCTACCCTTCCTGTCAGTGGGAGCTCCCAGGACAGGGAAGGAGCCCCCTAAGATGACCTGCTGCTCTTTGAAGACCCAGATTGTGACTCCTCATCAGCCTCGGTATTCCACAGACACAGAGACCTTGTCTCTCCCATTAGATTGGGGACTTTAGCCCCCAGATGAGTGTCTCCAAGGTTTGCAGTTGAACTTCCCCCATGAGACTAAGGGCCTGCCTAGTGGGGTGGGGGCTCTGTGTCTTTTGTGCCCCAGCCCACTCGAGCCAATTCCTAACCATCCTTCCAGATTCTGAATAGTGGCCAGGAACAGGATAGTAAGGGAGAGGACATGGGGCGACCCACGCGTCAGGAGGTGAGATGAGACCATGACACAAGGCAGTGCGTACCTGACTCCAGTATAAGTAAGCAACATGCAGGAGCCCCTTAGCTTGAGCCAGAGAGGAAGGAACAGGGGCAGAGATAATGCTAGTGGCGAGGAGCTGTGGGCCCAAACTCTTTGGGTCCTCTGGAAACAAAGATGTTGCTCTTTTCCAATCCCTCCACAGGTCATCTGTGGTCAGGACGACGGTCCCCCTGGCTCAGAGGACCCTGAGCATGATGACCACGAGGGCCAGCCCCGGCCCCGGGTGCCTCGGAAAAGGAGTCACATCTCACCCAAGTCCCGCCCCATGGCCAATTCCACTCTCCTAGGGCTGCTTGCCCCACCTGGGGAGGGTTGGGGTGTCCTTGGGCAGCCCCCCAACCGTCCAAAACACAGCCCTCCACCCTCAGCCAAAGTGAAGAAAATATTTGGCTGGGGTGACTTCTACTCCAACATCAAGACGGTGGCCCTGAACCTGCTCGTCACGGGGAAGATCGTGGATCACGGCAACGGGACCTTCAGTGTCCATTTCCGCCACAATGCCACAGGCCAGGGCAACATCTCCATCAGCCTCGTGCCCCCCAGCAAAGCTGTGGAGTTCCACCAGGAACAGCAGATCTTCATTGAAGCCAAGGCCTCCAAAATCTTCAATTGCCGCATGGAGTGGGAGAAAGTAGAACGGGGTCGCCGGACCTCGCTTTGTACCCACGACCCAGCCAAGATCTGCTCCCGAGACCACGCTCAGAGCTCGGCCACCTGGAGCTGCTCCCAGCCCTTCAAAGTCGTCTGCGTCTACATTGCCTTCTACAGCACGGACTACCGGCTGGTCCAGAAGGTGTGCCCCGATTACAACTACCACAGTGATACCCCCTATTATCCCTCTGGGTGACCCTGGGCAAGTCAGAGAGGCCAGGCCAGGGTTGGAAGGCCAGGCCTGCCTGGGCAGGAGGCTGTCTGTCTGGACACTGGGCAGGGGAGGGAGGGTGGAAAGAAGGCAAGATCAAATGAGGCCAGGACCAAATCTCAAGTGGTGGGTCCCCAGGGCTGGCCCTGACCTGAGGCTAGAACACAGGAGCACTGGAGGAGGAGTGGGTTCTGGGCAGTGGATGCTGTGCCCTAAGTTCCTGGGCAGGCAGATCAGTGTGGCACCAGATCAAGTCATAGAGAAGTCCCTAAGCTCCTGGCCTTCTTCCTGCCATCCTGAGGACAGCAACAGGCAGAGGGGACCTCGTCATTTGGATCCCAAATAGGCAACTTAGGATGATGGCTAAAATAGGGCTTCCAAGGGACTATAGAGGGTCATCGCTGGCCTTCCTGTCCTGCACTGTGTCCAGTACAGCATGAGGTTTAAGCAGTGGCCCCTGAGGTCTTTAATGTCTTGACACCTGTCACCAGCCAGGCTACCCCTTTCCAAGATTTCTTCTCCATCCAGCACTCCTCACTCCTGCCTGCCCCTCTTGCTGACGGCACAACATCCTTACGCTGAGACAGGACGATTGGTAGTCCTTCTAGCCCCACGGCCACAGGTGGGAGCCCACTTGTGCGCTGTGTGTCCCTCATCCACCCTTCCCCCTGCTGAGAGCAGTCCCTCTAGAGTCAGCCCTACCAGTTAGACTGGGGCTCTCCTGGATTGGGGTTGTACCCCTCTGGGCCATGGAGGCCTCCCCCCCCCCACCCAGTGAGAGGCTGGGAAGCTGTGTGGAATCTGTTCCATAGTGTTGTCTGTGGGCGGGAGGGAGGGGCGGGAAGTCTTGTGAAATCACCTGACTGTCGACTTTCTGTGTGCAGAATCTTGTTCTTGGAACAGGGAATAAAGCTTTCCCCAGGGTACTGCATTCTGAGTGGTCCAGGGGAGAGGGCCCTAGCTACCCCCTTCCCTCCCCATCCAGCCACCATTTTTCAGATGCTGCAGGTACATTGTTGGAGACCAGAGCTGAAGACGCTGTCAGCTATTGGAGTGGATGCTCACTGAGGCTTCAAGGGTGTCCTCTTTAGACTCCTTTTCAGGTGATCAGATCTAAGAGCAGAAACTGGAGCAAACGCCTGTGCTTAGTGCCTGTGGGGCAGAGGTGCCATCTGCAAGAACAGCTCCAAGAGAAAGAGTCAGTCCTTTGGCTGGTCCAGATTAACATGCTCCTGCCAGAATTGCCATCCGTGTCGGCTCTGTAGGAAATACCCCACTGACCAGGCCAGTGTTTAGGGTAAAGGGCTTCTAAGCTCTGCTATTAGTTTTCATTGTCACTGGCTTCTTCCAGTGTTTTCCTCTAATAGCACGAGGGTCTTGCCCAACTCTGGGGGTCCTCAATTGTGAGTGGCCATCAGGATCATCCCAAGGGTTTGTGACAACACAGGTTTTGGGTCCTACCTAGTTTAGTAGTTCTGGGTGGGACCTGAGGACTTGTATCATAACAAATGCCCAAGATCCACACTGGAGAACTTTCTAAACCCCTTCAGCTCTGGGTGTAGGGGACAAGAAGATCCACACCCTGCACCCTCCACCAGGGCTCTCTCCCAGCAGGAATTCTCATCTCCCTTGCATGGAGTGGGGTCCTTCCAGCAGACGATGTCACATGCTGGTGAAGGAACAGACCAGGGTGGTACGGGTATGTGGAGGACAGAGTGCCGCCATTCCCTTCCTCAGCTGATCAGAAGGCTGCCTGTGGCTCCTCACCAGAAAAGATGGTTGGATATCTTGGGACTCAGTGAGGGGAAGGCTAGAGCCCCTCAGAAGGTCATTCTAGACCTGTTGTCTTGGGAGGTTATTGAGTCCCTTCTAACAGTGTAGTTACAGTAGGGACAGTCTTTTTTTTGTCAGTTGTGGGGCTTGAACTCAGGGCCATGATGCTGTCTCTGAGCTCTTTTGCACCGCCACTTTGAGCCATAGTACCACTTCTGGTTTTCTGGTCATTAATAGGAGATAAGTGTCTCATGTAACTTTTCTGCCCAGGACTGACTTCAAACCATGATCCTCAGCCTCCTGAGTAGCTAGAATTACAGACATGAGCCACCAAGTGCCTAGCTGCAGGGACAGTCTACGCATGAGGGCAAGAGGGCCTTGCCTGTTCCAGCCTTTGCCTTTGCCCATCAGCACTTAGTCCCAGATCCTCCTCCACATATGGCAGCCCAGAGTGAGGCAGGGCTTAGGAACAGCCCTGTTGCAGCCCCACCTTTTGCAAAGTGACCCAGAAAGGGAGAGTGGCTGGAGCTCATGTACCCATCCCAGTTTCCTCGCCCCTCCCCAAAACTATATTCTGCAGTCATCTCTTCTGAACAGATGAGATGCACCTGCTTACTCCCTCTCTCCCCCTCCCTTACCCTGTAGACAAGTGCCTGGGGATAGAGAGGTACAGGGTTTGAGCTTGCCAGGAGAGGGTTGAAGTTGCTGGAATCTGGAAAGTTTGCCTCTCTGTGATGCCCACAGATACCACCTACAACACTGTAGGGTCTAGATGAAGAAGGCACTGTGGGGCTCCCCCTCCCACTTCTCTGTATGGCCGGCTGAACTCTCAGCAGGACCTGGGGGCACTGTGACCCACCCCCTCCTACTTCTCTCCTCCTGCGGAGAGCCAGCTGCTGCCGACAGCTGGAGGGCCAGGCCTTCCTGGCACACAGTGCTGCCTGCACAGGGGGTGGGTTCATTTTAATAACTTCATTTCACCCTCATGCACACTCTGCTGCCTCTCTCCTCATTTTCTGCCTTCCCCAGGAACCAGGCTATTCTTCTCAGCTCAGATTTTGCTAACAGAGTTTCTTCCAAGTCTTAATTCTTGGAATAGCCCTTTTTGATCCCTCCTATTCTTACATCCATTCTTACCCTTGGTCCACACAAAAATAATGGGTCCATCCAACTTCCTATAGCTAAGAAGGCATCCACCTCTGCCCCCAGTGAGCAGTGTCTACAGAAATCCCTGTACAGATGGGCCCCAGGTCCTGGCCTGCAATCCTTCCCATTTCTCCTACCTGTCTCCCAGGGAGAAGGTCCAGAGCTTGCCTTTCCTCCAATCCTTTGGCTTTCCCCATCACCCTTCAGGGCAGTCCCCCTAGGACTGTTTAGGGACCCTACTGCTGGTCCTGACCTTTTCCAACCAGGACGGGGTTTTTCGTTGTTGTTTGGTTGGTTTTTGTTGTTGGTGGTGGTAGTGGTGTGGTAGTGGGGGGGGGGGCTGAACTCCGGGCCTGGGCGCTGTCCCTCAGCTCTTCAGCTCAGGGCTAGCGCTCTACCACTTGAGCCACAGCACCACTTCCAGCTTTTTCTGGTTATGTGGTGCTGAGGAATTGAGCCCAGGGCCTCATGCATGCAAAGTATGCAAAGCACTCTACCACTGAGCCACCTTCCCAGCCCTGGTTGTTGTTCTTTGTTTGTTTGTTTTTGTTTTTGGTCATTGGGCTTGAACTCAGGGTCTGGGCACTGTCCCTGAGCTCTTTTTGCTCAAGACTAGTACTCTACCACTTTGCACCACAGCACTACTGTGGTTAATTGGTGGTTAATTGGAGACAAGAGTCTCACGAACTTTCCTGCCTGGGTTTGGCTTTGAACCATGATCCTCAGATCTCAGCCTCCTGAGTAGTCAGGATGGCAGGTGTGAGCCACCAGCACCCAGCTCTAGGACAGACATCTTATCTCCCTTGTTATATTGGCACAAGCTTTCCAGACCTCTGTGTGTGTGTGTGTGTGTGTGTGTGTGTGTGTGTGTGTGTGTTGGACATGGCTTACAGCTCTCCCTCAGACTGGGGAGCACTTTGGGACCAGGGGTAGTGCCTCCCTTATTGCCAAGGGTGGGACGTGTATTGGGGCTGAAAGGGAAGGCATTTTCCCTTTTCTAAGCACCCAGACACCTGGAGGTGGTCTCCAGCCTTCAGCTCTCCACAGAGAAACCCCTGGCCTTCGTTCCTAGCTAAAGGGGCAACCTCCTCAGAGCCTGCAGAGCTAGCTACGGGTCCTTGGGTAGCGAAGCTCCATCATGCTCTTGATGACAATTAAGCAAAAGGGAACAGGTGACTGGTCCCTCCCTCCTTCACCCACCCTCTCTGCACTCTCCTTCCCTAGATGAGCAAGCGGGAACTGAGTCACCCTGTTTCCCATCCTTGGCAGGAATGCTGATGACCTTGCATGTGGCAGATTCCCATAGTGAGGACCATTGCTCAGAGACGCATGAGGTGGGTGGGTGGACTGGAAAGCTGAGGGAAGGGCATTATGGGGGTGGAGGCAGCTGAAGGTCATAGGATGACCAGGGATCTAGATCATCAAGTGGGTTGAGGGAGACACAAGGAACCAGGTGCTCTGAGTTGGGAAATGATCCAGTGTCGTGGCTGGGAAGAGGAGAGAGAACTGTACTTCCAAAGACTTGAAGTTCTGTGGTGTTTCCAGCCTCCTGGGATGATGGGTGACAAGAGGTACCATCAGCCCCACAAGACAGAGGCAAGATGGGGTGGGGGTGGCACCTGCTGATGATGTTAAGGTGCTGGAGTGGCAGCTGACACCATTTCCAAGGCAGAAATTCCAGAGGACTGCTACTTGACTACTGGGGGACTGGGCTGTGGTTCCTATAGAGGTCCTTCTTTCCCATTAGCCTGCCTAGCTCGAAGGCTAACCTGGTAATAAGTCAAGCCAAGAATGACCAGTTCAAGGCCTCCTGGTTTATCATTACCTGCTAGCTGGTCTCCAGGAGCAAAGCAGCTTCAGAACCAAAGAGACTGTAAGTAAAATGACAGCACAGTTTGCAAAAATCTCTGAGTCCCTGTCCTTGTCCTGGAATTTATTAGTTGGGTGGTCTTGGATAAGGATGCAATCTCCCAGAGCCTCCTTATATTAAAAACTAAGGTCTTCTTCCTAACTTGGAGTATGGCTGGGAAAATTAAATGTTATTCATCTTCGCTTTGGAGATGTGTCTCAGTTACCTTCAGCTTTGATCCTAAGAGTCCCAGGCTGGAATTAGGAGGCCTGAGTTCCTGTCC